CAATATACATGTGATACACAATAATATACAAGTAGGATAACAAGGTGCTGACGTTACAGTGCCACTGGATAATAACATTGCTGATTGGAATTACACTGAGTTATGAGTATGTATTTACATCTCCGACGTCTTCCAATAAACACGCAACGCGTGCCACAGCTCTGCGAGAAGAACATTGACAGTTGCGCGAGTGCTGTCATCTCGGCGACGGCTCCGGCGTTTGACAAAACCCCTTCCAGCTGGGAAAAAAACCGACCCTGGAATGGCTGTACATAAACCTTATGTCATCTTCGCCTTCGTTTTGGACAAGAGTTTATATGCAATTCCTTCATGGGGAAGGTTCTGGAGCGCAGGCAGGACAGACACACTTTCTTTCCTTCATACTTGCACACTGTCTCTCTCTTACCTCTCCAATCTAAACACCATGATGCCAGTGCTTGCAGTAGCTTCACAGAGGTGTAAATATTTTGGAGCAAACGTAAAAACGACTTTTTCCTTGCGGATGACGTGTACTTCATTGATGCTAATGGATATTAACAGCAGGAAGGGACAGTTGAGCGATACCTACTGGCGGAGCTATTTCCAGAAAAAGACAAAGAAGCATATCTCTCTTTTCCCTACACTTTCTTGGAAGGAACAAGGGCGTTTGCCATCCAAATGAGCAAAACGTGAACAGGGGTATGCTGAAATGAGAGATGGACTTCTGGGTGTCTGTTTTTGGTCAGCTCTACCTGGGGAAGCACTCATGTGGTTAAATATTTCTTACATGTCAAAATATCACCAGAAATCCAATCTGATTTTTAGGGGTCATAAGAGTGACTAATAATAAATGTGGGATAAAGGAATCCCATAGTGTTTCAGCGAGTGATGTGATGAATTTCTCTCCTTTCCTCACCAGCTCTCTCACAGCCCAGCTCCCAGTGCTGAACAACAGCCCATAATATTCACATTATTGACATGGCAGGAAAGTTGATTAAAATGACATCAGTGTGATGTGTTTCCTGACAGTGACAGTGACAGTGACAGTGACATAACGGAACTAGGACATGTGACCAGTGCATTAGCGTGTCATTGCATTGAGGAGTTTTGTACTAGAAAATGAAAAAGATCATTTAACATGTGTACACATAATTAACATTACAGCAGTAAATATGTGGGGTAAATGAACAGAAACATACCGGTATATGGTGGGAGCTATGTCATAAAACACTCCAAAAGCTGCAAAAATAATTATAGGTGCAGTGATTTGTGTTTTTAATAATGTTCATCATAACAGGGTATTTTAAATATGTATTTATTGAACTTAATATTTATATACATCTGTGTATTTATTTACGTATAATAAGTATTCTTATACAAGTAACAAATGTAAACAGAATAGCTATAAAAATACATTTGCAATTTAAAACGTGAATGAGCAGCTTTATTGGTGCCCAGATTATTGGCAGTGAACCCTCTGTTTCAGCTACAATTCATCACATTCACCTTGATTCCCATCCGGTTCTGATGCTGAGCCTGGTGTATGGATGCTATCATGAAAGACTCACCATCTGGAGCGGTCCTGCGCAGCCGACCCGCCAGGCAGCCCCTGCAGCCGACACTGCGTCTGCTCTCCTGTTCTCTCTCCTCATATATTTCAGCCCTGCTTTCTGACCATTAAAGATAATTTGATTTGATGAAGTAAAATGAGTTTGTTCTGCACCCACCCGCATGCTGCAGTCTGCCTGCCAGCCCACCTCACAGCTTGTCTCCCTCGCTCGCCGATCTGATGATGGAGGCCCTGTCACTCATCTCCTATTTCTTTCCTGCTGATATCAACAACAGATGTTAGTCCTACTTCACTAAGAAGGGGACTGTTGTTAGATTATTATTACATGCCTGACCTTTGTAAACAAGCGACTGGTCCTCCGGTATCTATTGATATGTCAGTAAATAAGGTACAGGAAGAGCAAGCATACAGACCTCAGCATATTTAAAATGATAAAAATAGTAATTTAGTACATTCTAGTATAGAAAGTAGGTAGTAACCCAGGGATGCACAACCTCATTGTGTTGAATTAAATCCCAGAAGACACCCAGTATTACTCATTTAAACTAAATTGATCCAGGAAAACAAAATGTCAGCCAAGCAACAATGCAATAATAATAATGGTGCAAAACTAGGAACCCTAAGATTGGGGCTAGCCTGGATTTAATAGCTGCAGTTATCTGATGAGCAAAACTGAGATACTTTATCCTGCACGTCCTGTGATATTAGATTCCTAGACTTGGGAAGTTGTCAGTGCACTTAGGTCTTACTGGAGGGTAGCTTGCCTTTCAGTAGGGTGTTGGGTTGATGCCCATCTCCATCCACTAAATTTAGAGCTGTTTATGTTTCAGGTCATTAGGAAAGTGATCAGTCAGTGGCCAAGCCGAGCCTGACATACAAACACATGGTGACAGACAAAGGGGAAAGATACACTTCCAAGGAAATTTGCACCACAAGGAGCTGAACTTTCAGGGTCAAAGGCCTGAGCTTTATTCAGTTCCTTTAATTGAGTGGCAGTACAGTTACATTCCGATATCCTAGATGTTTGGCTGATACCTCAGATGGGAAGAGTTACTAATCCTTTGGCACAGCCTGGTATGCCCACTTTGTAATTATTAACATGACATCACTGGATTGGTCCTGTGGTTTTATGTGCCAACAAATCAGGGGCTGTCAAAACCTGTGTTTCAAATTAAAAAAAACAAAATGTCAACCGCTACATCGGTATACTAATGTTTTTCAAGAGATTGATTTGATGCAGGACATCTGTATACACATGCTTAATTAGCATTTATATTGTATCTCTGCAATAATATTATTAGTCGTAATAGCTGAGTGAGTTCTTTTTTTTTCATTATTTATTATTAGGTTTATCTTGCTGGTTTATGAAGCGAACAGGAAAGCGGACAAGGGATGGGGGATCCAGAAGTACCAAATGATAAAAGACAAATTATAAAAAATATAGGCTCTTATCATTGCACTTGTTCCCATAACAATAAGAGGATGTGGGGACATGGCAGAATTAACTGATGTGTTACAGCAACGTGATAATAAATGACTGAAGTTCTTATCCAGCAGTGCCCCCTTGTGGACCAGAGAAAAAATGCATGCAGAACTACACCCTAAAACAGCTCAAATTGGTATTGTTACGCGAATTGATGTAAATCGATTCCACCACTACGGATATCTCACATTTGGCATCTCAGTGAACTGGAATAAATATAGAAATTAATTATAAGGTTAGACTTAAGAAATGATTCAAGCTATGTTCCCACATTACGGTAACAAGATTCAGTGGCTGCGTGTTATTTTGTAATGAACATGCTTTTTGATGTCCGTCATTGGAATTAAATAGATCATCTAACATCCTCAGAAGCTGTTCACGCCAGGCCAGGATCGCTTGTCTAGTATACCAGTCGCTTTTCCCAGTGGGCTCATGGGTTTGTGGGCCAGCAGAATTCATCACGGGGGCCTTAAAGTCCAGTCCTGTCTCACGCTGTGGGAGGCGAAAGCTTACTGGCTGCAATGACCATTACACTCCGATCCGGGCCCAGAAAGTAGCCGTGTGCCGTTTGTGGTGATTTCATTGGCTGCATGAGACCAAGCAGGTGATCAGAATCCCAGCATGCAGCATCTCTATCTCCATTGATCTGGGCTGACAGCGACCGGTGCTGGGAGGGCTCACCGGAAGGCGCCGCCATGGACACTGCTGGGTGATGTCACCCTTCCTGACACCTTGCCGCAGACCCAGGCCACATTGCCCAAGCTGAACACTGCTTCTGCTAACTGAGGTTCCAACTGTGATTTCAGATAGAATCCTCATTATGAGTTGGCAATTACTGGTATCCCTATGGACCAGAAACAAAATCCATTTTGTGTAGGAAATTCTATGCTGGTTATGACAGAAGTATACTGTGGTGCTAATACTGAGAGCAGAAAATCGTTTTAATTCTACTAAAGGTGTGTGCTACAACTATATCGGCCTCCAATAACTGTGCGTAAATTTTGCACGTTCCCCCCGTGTTCACATGGATACAGAGCATGCAGTCATGCAGTGTGTCAACGAGCACACCATCCATTTGATTGCCATTCCAATCTATGATGTGCCCTGTTATCAGCTGTGTAATGAATGACATGGAATTACATTCCAGTGCTCCCTGCAAAACAAGGGTCCTTTGTTAAAGAAATCATGGTGGAATATGGCTGTATATTATTTAAAAGCAGAAAAGACAGACTGAAATGTGCAGCTGTGGTAGAGTAACAGTGCGGG